CCCCTCTGGCTTCCTTAATCAGCCAGGATGGACAGGGGTCTAGGATGCATGTGGTGGGTCGCACCTCCCCAAAGATCCTGTCCACATCCTCAAGCTGAACCAATTGAAATGAATCCAATAAATATAAAGGCCCTACCAAAATCCATGGCATGGCCTTACCATTTTCCAGTTCTTCCTTTTAGTCTGAACATAACAAAAAGCCTCTTTTATTATTTTAACCTATCTAGCAAACCTGATCTCATTCTGCGCTTTAGCTTTTCTGCCTTTTTCCCACACGTTCCGGCTATTCGTTTGAATTCTTCTTTTGTGATTGATTTCCCACTTTTGCCATTTTGTGTACATATCTTTTAAAACTTAGCTTGAAATTCTTTAGTCATCCATCCATTATCAAAACTTTAGAGTGCCACTTTATTACCAACATATCCTGTGCCTCAATAAGCTTTTTGTATTCCAAATGAATAGAAATGTTATTGTTGATGCAGGATTTTAAAAAAACCACTTTGACTTGGGACTTCATCAGACAGATGACAGGAGAAATGAAGAAAAGTGGGGGAAAGAGGAGGGAACTGTCTTACCCAGTTCTGTCCCATTTTCCCCATCTCCTGGGATAGCCGTACATCCCATATGCTTACTGCAACTTTCCCCGCTTTCTCTTACTTGGCGTTGGGTAACACCTGACTCCTGAAAATGGCTGCTAGGTTCGTGCACTGCAGAAACGGAGCCCTACGGAGTCCCACCAGAAGTGTCCTTACATCATGTGAAGGGCCTCCAAAGGACTCCCGTGGAGCTCTGTTTCCACAACACATGGAAACAGAGCTTAGCAGACATCTGAGGAGGTACTTAGATAGTTAATATAGGCACTGAAGAATGTCCCTCAATTGCACGGTCATCAATTACATAATCCTTCAGTCTTTCAGCATTTAAGTTGGTAACCTTTAGAGTGACAGATTTACAAGCCAGTTGCTTTACACTATAAAATAATGGAAATATCATTGCTATCATGTGCAGTCACGATGGACTGACAGGGAACTCTCTTCCCAAAGATGTCATCTTGCCTTGTATTGATGTTGCTGATTGGGAACCATCCCAATGTGTTTTCAAGTGGGAGCATCAGAATGGTAACATCCATGCAGAAAGAGGAGCTGAAAAAGTGCTAAAAGAAGTACTGGGGACGCTGTTAAAGGCTCCTCCCTAAACTACAAACCCCAGAATTCTGCAGGAGGCAGAAACCAGATTTAAAGTGGATTTTTTTCTCTAGTGTGATGAGAGAGATACAGCTGGCTGCTCAGCTGACAGGGGTGGAGGAATGGAATAGAATATCTTACTAATGGTCAAGATTGCTGGCAGGCTGGGCAGTAAACCTGAATACTCAACAGTGCAAAACTTTACTGTAGTAGATTTTACTTGTTACTATCTGTGATCCCTCTACTGAACAAACAAACATTAAGAGAACTTGCAAGGAAAACAAGTTTGATTGGATCTGCTACTAAACACTTGTCCACAGTTTCACTGGCGTTGTTGCTCAATAGACTCCAAGCATCAATACCAACAGTCTTGTGATTTACTACGTAAACCCCTTTCTATCCTAATGTCCCTTGAGGTCAAGGAGAAACACTTGTTTCTTCTCCTTGTTGTTTTGTTTTTTATAACACTCTTGTGACATAACTCAGACTTAAATAACTCAGTAACTAAAAGGTAAAGGTTGTCCCCTGACATTAAGTCCAGTCATGTCTGACTCTGGGGTGTGGTACTCATCTCCATTTCTAAGCCGAAGAGCCAACGTTGTCCGTAGACACCTCCAAGGTCATGTGGCCAGCATGACTACATGGAGCGCCGTTACCTTCCTGCCAGAACGATACCTATTGATCTACTCACATTTGCATGTTTTCGAACTGCTAGGTTGGCAGAAGCTAGGGCTGACAGCTGAAGCTCACACCACTCCCCGGAATCGAACCTGATACCTTTTGGTCAACAAGCTCAGCAGCTCAGCGCTTTAACCCACTGCACTACCGGAGGCTCCAAGTAACTCAGTAACTAGTCAAGCTCAATCAGTGGCTTTCTAGTGACCTGGCCCTGGATCTTTCCAGTTTCAGGGGTGCATCTGCTTTGTAGAATTAATGCAGTTTGACACCACTTTAATTGCCATGAAATCATGGGAACTGTACTTTTACAAGGTCGTAGTCTTCTCTTACAAAGCAGCAGGCACCTCGCCAAACTACAACTTGCACAATTCCATAGCATTGAGCCATTAACTCTATCTCTACCTGCACACAATTTGCATCTATTCATTCTAAAGTACTACCTACTCTAAAAGGTATAATACTTAGATTAAATAACTAGAATTGTGTCAAAACCTGGTGCATACTTATCTACAAGTAAAGAAACTGAAAGCACAATTTACTTCTTAATAAATATTCATAGGATGGCTGTTAGTGTATTTATTCTCCACGATAAATGCTCCTACTTCTTGGCAGCCATACGAACAATTTATTTAATATTCTGTAACTTGTACCTGAAAGTGCCTGTGGTTTTGTGCATTAAAAAAGATAGCTCAGGAATAAAATTATAACCATTACCGTGTATTTTTTATTGTAATTATTTAAAGTTGTCCTCCTTTGGCATGCATATTGGGAGACGATATCTGCACGGAGAGGTGAAGTGTCCTTTGCGTGTATGAATGGAGCCACAGAATGCTCATGGTGCACCTAGAAAGAGAGAATGAGATATTTGTCACTCTGACATTGACCTCAAAATCTCAGCAGTCAAAACCTACTGTCACTGAATTTCTGCTTCTCTAGAACATTTCAATCTTTTACCTTTTTGCTGCAATGTAAGAGCAAATGCTTCTGCTCTATATGTCATATTCTCCAATAGATACAATCCAGGAAACATGTGGCTAAGCAACACTGCATTGCTATCAAAACGGTAAAGATTTATTAATGAGAAGGAAAATACAAGTTAGAGAAGACTTTTAAATACATTTTGTAGTAATAACCTGAGCAAAATCGTATTTTGTGTAAAATAATGTTTTGTGCCCCTTAAAAACTTGTTGTTTACATCATGCTTTTACACAAACAGGTCCCAACATTGGGGAGGGGGCAGCTGAACAATAACAACAAGCTTTTTCAGCATATCTGTACAGAAGTTAATTGTAAATGATATGATTATAACTGTATTGATTGTAAATGATATTATTATAACTGTATTTGTGTTTTCATTGGTTGCCCTAATGCTGGAGCGGCCTAGCTGTGAGGAGTGTGTTACCATGGAAACGATGCTGTAGAGAAGTGGGAGGAGCTTAGAGAGGAGAGTTTTGAAAAGCAACAGTTAAAGTCAGTTGGGGGTTTAGGCTCAGAGGAATGAAGAGTTAGGTTTTAGGCTCAGAGGAGTGCACAGTCATGAAGTGTTGAGAGAGAGAGTGGGAAGTAGAGAAGCAGTGTTTGTGAATAGTCAGAGGTTTCTTCAGTTTAGGAAGGCTGAAGGGGAAACCTTGTTAGTTTCATTAGTTAGAGAAGACTAATAGAAGCTTGTTTAGATCACTAGTTAAAAGTGAACTAGAGATCTGAGGTTTGATCACGGAAGGATCAAACAGGAAGACTATTCACCTCAGGAACCATTGTCTAATAAAGTGCTTCACCACAGCAAAAGTTATTATAAAGTGTAACATCAGAAGTCTGTACTGTATCGCAACCAAGTTATATGTAACGTTCTCCAAGCATTTTCCAAGTTTATCACCAAACTGCAACCATACGCTTTGTTTCAAAATAAACTTGTTCTCTTTGATTTTAAGACTGCCTCACCTCCATTAATTTTGCGTTCAGTGTGCCCAATCTCCCAAAATTACCTCACATCACAAATTGGTGGCACCATTAAGGATAATAAATAATAAATCGTAACTTCTCTCTCCTGAAACCCCTTTTCTTTGAATTGGGGCAAGCAGCCCTTTGCAATATCAAATACATTTTCTAACTTAGGACAAGAACATTTATGCAATTCTTTATATTTTTAGTTTGCACAGACAGGAAGTAGTTCTCCAGGGTTTCAGGTAGAGGTTCTTCCCATCCCACTCTGGAGCTGCCAGTGATGATTCTGGGTCCTTTTGCATGCTAGGTTACCTTTTTACTAATATGTAAGGGAAATAAACCCATTTTACATTTGCCATGGGGAAAGTTTCTCCATGGCAACTGAATGGCCATAAAATACAAATCCATGAAAAAGACTGGGTAAATTAACCTGCTCTGAGTTCTTTATAAAGTCTTGCACTCACATTAGAAAAAATATTAGTAATTTCCATTTCCGGATATAGAAGAAATTTCATGTTGAGATTATATATACTGGAAAATGTGAGAATTCAACTGAACCCCAGCTGACTCATAAAAAGAATTGGGTAGAGAACTGGAGAACGTGTGGTATATAAGTGGTTTCCTCATGGGAAAATTACAGAGCTTAACAAAGAACAAATTGTTATGGTTGTGAGCACTTAGTATTGTTTTCCTTCTTGATAAACATGATTCATAAACCCAGATTATAAAACAGGTCATTTTGGGGAGGGGGGGACCTTGCAGTTCCTCCAGATGAATTAGTTCCACACTTACCATGTTTGAGAAGAAAATGGGACAAACCATTCCTTTTTGCTACAGAGATTTGATTGAAATACAGTTTTGTGCAATTTGGTAATCTCCAAGACAATTGGACTATGTTTCCTATAATCCCACTTCTAGGTGTTGTAATCCAACACAGAGGTAGGACACTGGATTGGAGATGATGGGTGTAACAAAAAGAGCATAAGCACCCCTTGTGCTGATCTAATTGTATATAAAAATGCTGCTATATATGATCCAATGAAAACTAGAAATTTACTTACTTCCTTAATAGTAGGTCTTGGAAGATTTTACAATACTAATGGTGAACATTTTTTTTCTCCAAAAATTTGAAAGTGTGTTTTGAAAAGAAGGAAGCATCTGAGAGCTTGCCTACATTGACAAAAATTTTGCACATCTTTTTCTGAGTCCACACTAACTCATAGCAATAAGATTGCCATAAGTGGCCATATATTTCCTCAATGTAAGGGGATGGTCAACCATCCCTCCTCCTTTGCATTATTTTTGGCCACATGGCCATGGCAACTCCACTTCCCCCCACCACCACCATGATGCATGCAAATATAAAAAAGCGGGGTGCTCTAATATTGATATATTGATAGGGAAGTATCCACACACATGCACCTTCTCATTTTTTTTTATTCACATCAGAGAAGGACCAATTTATAGTGGGGAAAATCAAGTCATCTCCTGGACCAGGTAATCTCCCACCTTCTTCTTAGGCGATCCCTCGTTGTCCAAGTATGATGGCATTCCAAGTTCTTGTGAGTTGTTCTTGTGAGTGTGTGAGTTGTTTTAATCTGTGGAGGTGCACAGTCGGTCAACACACAGTCTCCACAGAGTGAGGGTCCCAACCAGTGGCATGGTTAACATGATGATGGTGGCTTCTCAATTTGTTGCAGCCTTCTTCCGCCTTCACAGCCATTGTAACATGTACCGTGTTGTCTTCCGCCTGATCCACCATTGAGGTCTTCGAATTTTGCTTGGTCTGGAACCCCCCTGTGACTCCTCCTGGGAGTGCATGACTTTGGTGGTTACACCCACAGGTTCATTGGAAGCCCCCTCACCACAACAAGGTGACAATCCATCTCCCACCAACCAGTTCTGCTTACAATGATGAGATGCCACTTGGGAGGACCTGCCACATCTCAATTTTGTCCTGACTTCCACCCCTGGTGGAGTGCATGATTGATTCCATAATGGGGGCTGCCAAAAAATGCCCCAGGGACATGTTTAGACAGCAAGGGGCTAACTTTTTTTTCATGTCAGGAGTGACCCAAGAAACTACAAGTCACTTCTGGTGTGAAAGAATTGGCCATCTGCAAGGATGTTGCCCAGGGGACACTTAGATGTTTTACCATCCTATGGGAGGCTTCTCTTATGTCCCCACATGAGAAGCTGGACCTGACAGATGGGAGCTCACCCTGCTTTCCAGAGTTTAGCTGCTAACCTTTCAGTCAGAAGTCCTGCCAGCACAAGGGTTTAACCCATTGCACCACCGGCTAACTGATCTCCTGAGAGGAGTAATTGATTACCTTCACTTCTACCTGTCACTTTCTCCTTTTTTTCACCCATTATGCCACTGGTGCACTGATGTGCATCTCTCCCAGAAATGGGAGGGAGCCTTGAAAAGCAGTTTAAGGCCATTTTGTGGTAATGTAATTACTTTCTTGGCCTCAAACTGGTTGCAGGCATGTCAATCTGATCAATCAAGAAGCTGGATTATACTGTCAGTGTTGAAGTGCCCTTAGAATCTACTGTACATTTTTGCTCTGTGTAGACAAGCTCTAAGCCTGCCCTGTCAAATGGCCCAGACCGATTCTGGAAAGTGTAACAAAATAATTCAGCTTTATTAGTAACTAAATGTGAATGTAATTTTTAAAGTGCAGACACAATGGAAACTAAAAACTTCAGTAGCTAGCAATGTTTATTAGGAATTATCAGAAATCACAATTCTGATAATTCAATTTTAAACCATTTTCTGCAAGGGAGAAAGTCTCTGTTCCCTGTTATTTATAATATATGTATTTTAATCAGAAATTCTTCCTGGCACAGCATTAAAAACTAAATGTGGCCTTGGAAATAATTTCCTCATCTAAATAAGTTGACAAAAACGAAGGGTGCAGAATTAATGGTGTACAATTAATGCTTTTTGACACAACTTTAATGCCTGTGGCAAAATGCTATGAAATCTTGGGAGTTGTAGTTTAGCGAGGCAGAGAAGACCCAAGATCTTGTAAAACTACAACTTCCATGATTTCATAGCATCAAGTCACAGCAACTGAATGCTGCCAGATTACATTAATTCTAAATGTATTTATTTATTTCCTTCTCAGCCTGAAGGCAACTCAAGGCGGTTTATAGTCGGCAATCAATGCCCCTAACAACATAAAATTAAAGAACATTAACATATAATGTAGACCATATAAAAACAGTAGAAACAATAAAAACAATAAAACACTAGTCCTCAGCGTCTCATTACTAAAATCATTTCCCCATCGCATCATCCAATCGTTCTGTGGATCTAAATTAGTATGTTACATTGCTCAAAAGCCAGGTTTTAACTCTTTTTCAAAATGGTAGGAGGGAGGGGGCCAATCCAATATCCCTAGGGAGGGCATTCCATAGTCAAGGGACTACAGCTGAGAAGGCCCTGTCTCTTGTTCCCGCCAATCGCATCTGCAAAAGAGGCGGGACCGAGAGCAGGGCCTCCCCAGATGATCTTAAGCTCCTAGCTGGTTCATAGGGAGAGATATGTTCAGACAGGTAAGCATGTAGATGCACCCTTCAATGTTCCTAAGATTTTAGTCACTGCTGTATGCTATTCTAGACAAAAAAAATCATTAACTTACACATATGATTGGAATACTGTTTGTGGAAGAGCGATACCACAACCGTTATACATGTGTCATCATGCTGTGTGTTTATTTATGCAGTTCATATGTACTTCTCACAACAAACTGCCGATTCTGGTTGTAGTAATGATGTTTGGTGCACTGCTCTTCTTGTTGTTCGCTGCTCTGTTGAGGGCTTTTACCCTTCGAGGCAGCCTATTCATAATAACATTAATTAACTTGAAATGTTCTCGGTCATATTTCAGAGTA